ACCTCCAGCCTCACCTCACCTCAACCTCCTCTCACCTCAGCCTCACCTCTGCCTCACCTCTCACTTCCAGCCTCACCTCTCCTCAGCCTCACCTCTCACCTCCGCCTCACCTCTCACCTCAGCCTCACCTCTGCCTCCTCTCACTTCAGCCTCACCTCTCCACCTCACCCTCACTTCTCATCTCACCCTCCTTCTCCACCCTCACCTTTTTACCTCAGCCTCCACCTCTGCCTCACCTCTCACCTCAGCCTCACCTCTCCCTCCACCACCTCTCACCTCAGCCTCACCTTTCACCTCAGCCTCACCTCTCACCTCAGCCTCATCTCTCACCCCCTCTTCCCACCTCTCACCTCCAACCTGTCTCCACATCACCCGCACCCTCAGCCTCACCTCTCACCTCAGCCTCATCTCTCACCTCACCCGCACCTCTCACCTCAACCTCTTCTCACATCACCCGCACCTCTCACCTCAGCCTCACCTCTCACCCTCACCTCTCACCTCAGCCTCACCTCAGCTTCACCTCTCACCTCAGCCTCACCTTTACTATACAAACATTTATAAATTATTATATTAATTTGTCCACTTCCTCATTAATTGTTGTCCGGAATTTAATAACGTGAGTTGTATTTTTTTCTTATATTATTTAATGAGTTTTATGTAACCAGTTTCTTTTATCATTAATAATTGTATTTAATAAATTACACAGACACTTAATACACAGAATACAGGACACCATCACAGGCACTACAGACAGTCACCATCACAGACACTACAGTCACCATCACAGACACAACAGTCACCATCACAGACACTACACTACAGACAGTCACCATCAGAGACACAACAGTCACCGTCACACACTACAGACAGTCACCATCACAGACACTACAGAGTCACCATCCTGAACACAACACAGTCACCATCATAGACAGTCACCATCACAGACACACACACAGTCACCATCATAGACACTACAGACAGTCACCATCTAGACACTACAGTCAACATCATAGACAGTCACCATCCACAGACACAACAGGGTGCACCATCACAGACACTACAGACAGTCACCATCACCAACTTCTACAGTCACCATCACAGACACAACAGAGTCACCATCACAGACACAACAGACAGTCACCATCACAGACACTACAAGCAGTCACCATCACAGACACTACAGACAGTCACCATCACAGGAAACTACAGACAGTCACCATCACGGGCACTACAAACAGTCACCATCACAGACACTACAAGCAGTCACCATCACAGGCTGCAGACAGTCACCATCACAGACACTACAGTCACATCACAGACACAACAGAGTCACCATCACAGACACAACAGACAGTCACCATCACAGACACTACGGTCGTCACCATCACAGACACAACAGTCACCATCACAGACACTACAGACAGTCACCAACACAGACACTACAGACAGTCACCATAGCAGGTAGGTGATGGTGATGCCACAAGTCAGGAGGTCACCAACAGGCCATCTAGACTTCCTACTGGCACTCTCTTTAGCCTTGGCCCCCTAACACAGCCTTGACCCCACAGGACACCGGCTGACACTCGGCTGATAAACAACTTAACAACAACAACAACGTTAAGTCCCGCGTCTTCTACAGCGGCGATAAAACTTGTTCAAAGTGTTATTGTTCTCCGGGGCTTAAGTTCTCCAAAGTGTTATTGTTCTCCGGGGCTTAAGTTCTCCAAAGTGTTATTGTTCTCCGGGGCTAAAGTTCTCCAAAGTGTTATTGTTCTCCGGGGCTTAAGTTCTCCAAAGTGTTATTGTTCTCCGGGGCTTAAGTTCTCCAAAGTGTTATTGTTCTCCGGGGCTAAAGTTCTCCAAAGTGTTATTGTTCTCCGGGGCTTAAGTTCTCCAAAGTGTTATTGTTCTCCGGGGCTTAAGTTCTCCAAAGTGTTATTGTTCTCCGGGGCTAAAGTTCTCCAAAGTGTTATTGTTCTCCGGGGCTTAAGTTCTCCAAAGTGTTATTGTTCTCCGGGGCTTAAGTTCTCCAAAGTGTTATTGTTCTCCGGGGCTAAAGTTCTCCAAAGTGTTATTGTTCTCCGGGGCTAAAGTTCTTCAAAGTGTTAATGTTCTCCGGGGCTAAAGTTCTCCAAATTGTTATTGTCTCCGTGGAGGTGGAGAACACGATACTACAGCTCCTGTGTGGGTCTCCGGAGTCTCCAGTGTAGGGAAGTTATGACTGGTGTCTCCTGGAGGTGTGAGGGTGGAGGGTCACCACACGTTGTACTGGAGGATGAAGTGGTGGAGGAGGTGGTAGTGAAGTGGAGGAGGTGGTGGTGAAGTGCAGGAGGAGGTGGTGGTGAGGTGGAGGAGGTGGTGGTGAAGCGCAGGAGGAAGGTGATGGTGAGGTGGAGGAGGGTGATGGTGAGGTGGAGGAGGGTAGTAGTGAAGTGAAGGAGGTGAGAGAAATTTAAAAGAAACAGGAGGAGGAGGAGGAAGAAGAAGAAGAAGAAGGTCGTCCTCCTCCTCGTACAAGTCTCAGCCTCGAGTCTCACTGTTACAGAGTCTGGGAATAAAACATTTACGTGAATAAAGATTGACGTCCAGATGATCTGAGGGAGTGGCAGGATAAACATGCTATTTGTATACGCTCTAAGGTCGGGTTTATGAGCCAGAAAACAACGGCGGAGAGCCGTAGTGACCGTAACGTCCTTCACTAGCACCTTCTTGCCCCCGTCATTCTCGGACAGTAAGAGACATTGGCTCGCCCGAATGTCCCTCCATTGCTTAGGCAAGCCCCATTTCTTATGAATTGTAAATGTGTGTATGTGTGTGTGTGTGTGTATGTGTGTGTGTGTGTGTGTGTCGACCTCGCCTACCGCAGCGTTGCCAACATAACCAAGAGAATTAACTGTTGTCACCCTGGCGGCCACTCCCACCGCCCTGACACAGCTGACACATGCTGGCGAGAATGTCAGGAGGAATTTCAGAGTGCTGACAGTGTTGTTGTTTGTATATGTGTTGTGGTGGTAAGACAGATGTGACCAGGGATCTAAGGCACTCAGGGGTGTTCTGGGGTGCTGTGGGGGGGACTGGGAGGTTCTGGGGTGCTGTGGGGGAGACTGGGAGGTTCTGGGGTGCTGTGGGGGACTGAGTGTTCTGGGTGCTGTGGGGGGGGACTGGGAGGTTCTGGGGTGCTGTGGGGGAGGACTGGGAGGTTCTAGGGGCTCTGAGAGGCTACAAGATATGGAGGATGATGTGCTCTAGGAAGGGGAGGTGTTCTGGGAAGGAGGTGGGCTCTGGGAGGGGGGGGAGGTGCTCTGGAGGAATGGAGGAGGTGATCTGGGGGAAATGGAGGGGGGGGGATGAGGGATGTAAATACTTGCTCTGGGCCAGATGAAGAGAGGTTCCTTGCCATCTGTTGGTAAGACTTTTTAAACCGACTGACCTAAACATGGCAGAGTGAAGTGCATTTTCCTGCTGCCTCACTAAATCTTGAAACTTCGTCACTTCCAGGAGAGAGAGAGAGAGAGAGAGAGAGAGAGAGAAGAGAGAGAGAGAGAGAGAGAGAGAGAGAGTGTGTGTGTGTTTAATGAATCTTGTACCCTAAATTTAACACCATTTTTTTGTGTGTCACCACCACAACATCACCACTGGAAGATCACTAATCACCACCACTGGAAGGTCTCTCATCACCACCACTGACAGGTCACTCATCACCACCACTGGCAGGTCACTCATCACCACCACTGGCAGGTCACTCATCACCACCACTGGCAGGTCACTCATCACCACCACTGGCAGGTCACTCATCACCACCACTGGCAGGTCACTCATCTCCCAAACCCCGTCAGATGATGCAGGTTGGGTGGATTTAATAAAGACTCACCTGAAAGCGTCGAGTGAGGGCTGAGACAGGTATTAAAATCACCACTGTAGACCTGAGTAATATAACATGACGGGCACACACACACACACACACGCCCCCACACACACACACACACACACACACACACACACACACACACACACACACACACACACAGTCATAAAGTACCGATATAAAAGAGGTGAGGCTCAAAGGTCTTATCCCACTAGTTTACTACATCAAGGTACCAGACTCGACTCTTTAAGCAAACGGAGAAATAGAAGCGATTGGTTTCATTTGCATATAAATGAAGTAAATGCCTACAGGTCGTGTTTTCCGTCTGCGGGTTGCCTCCTTTGAGCTGTCAACATAAGTAAGATATTCCCCGGATTTAAGTGACTGTGGAGAACTACGGCCAGTGTGTGATCTGGGGAGTGATAGCGTTGGCTGGTGAGTGAGGTGGAGGAAGGGGTCAGTAGGGTGATGGGGGGGTTAGATGGCTGGGAGGAGGAGGGAGGGAGATGTAGAGGGAGGGGGAAGGGAGATGGAGAGGGAGGAGGCGGAGGAAGGGAGGAAAAAGAAAGAAGGGGAAGGAGGGGGAGGAGAGGAGATGGACGAGGGGAGGATAAGAGGATGGGGAGTAGGGATGAGGAGGAAAGTTCACCTTTCTTCTCTGACTTATCTATATACATCAGTGGATTGTATATCTCTCTCTACGTTGTCTATATAAATCAGTCAGTATATTGATCTCCTCTAGCCTATATATATATATATATATATATATATATATATATATATATATATATATATATATATATATATATATATATATATATATATATATATATATATATATATTAATTTATCTTATTTTTGTCATTTATATAAAGTATCTCGCTGTCTCTATTCATTCATTTATGTCTTAAATATCCACCATTCAATCAATTTATCCATCTATATTTATCAATTAATCGGTCAATTCATCATTTACACGTCACTGTATTCATTCGCCTATCAGTTAATTCAATTATCTATCTATCCCACAGCCACTAAGCTCGACGCCCCACAGCCACTACCCGCGATACCCCACAGCCACTACCCGCGACGCCCCACAGCCACTACCAGCGATGCCCAACAGCCACTACCCGCGATGCCCAACAGCCACTACCCGCGACGCCCAACAGCCACTACCCGCGACGCCTCACAGCCACTACCCGCGACGCCCAACAGCCACCACCATGATGTCCAAGCAACAGCCACCTGCCCAAGGAGCAATTCCCCACAGCTACCACTCAGCGATGCCCCACAGCCACTACCAGTTACGCCCCAACAGCCACTACCAGCGATGCCCAACATCACCCGGCGATGCCCAACAGCCACGCCACCTGCGACGCCCCACAGCCACTACCCGCGATACCCCACAGCCACTACCCGCGACGCCCCACAGCCACTACCAGCGATGCCCAACAGCCACTACCCGCGATGCCCAACAGCCACTACCCGCGACGCCCAACAGCCACTACCCGCGACGCCCAACAGCCACTACCCGCGACGCCCCTCAGAATCAACACAACACCTACGACGCGAGGGTCTTAAGTTAATGAACTGAAGCCTCTCAATAAAGGAGTAATGTATGCAAGATCCAAACGACACATTCTTGAGGCTTTAAACTCACGCTGTTTCAACTCTCCCAGCGCCACGGCCATGACTGAGGCAGGTACTGGGGCAGGTACTGTGGCAGGTACTGGGGCAGGTACTGTGGCAGGTACTAGGACAGGTACTGAGGCAGGTACTAGGGCAGGTACTGAGGCAGGTACTGGGGCAGGTACTGTGGCAGGTACTAGGACAGGTACTGAGGCAGGGGAATGAGGAACTGATATGAAGACACTAAAGTGATCCTCAAGATGGTTAAAACAAGACGATCGAGCTTCTGAAGGACCTTTACATTAATCACTGACCTCCAGAACATGAAGAATAAGTAGTTTATCATGCAATGGGTATAAGCACCTTCCTTCATCACCCCGCAGGACAGATAAATAATAACCACCATCATCGATCAACACTTCAGGCGGAATGAAATTCTCTCTCTCTCTCTCTCTCTCTCTCTCTCTCTCTCCTCTCTCTCTCTCATTGTTATCCTCGTATTTCCAACTAAACACCGCGAGGGAGATGATGCAGCATGTGAACAGACGCATCTGCTTAACCTTCCTCATAACAGACCGACCATCACAGCCACCACACAGACGTTCACTGACCTCACCACCACCACCACCACCCCCACCACCACCACCCCGACCCCTACCACCAACAACACCAAATATATTTACAAATTCAATGAACCTTCACACCAGCGTTTCTTACAGCTCCTGCACGACGAGGTAATGAGTCGACAGACATTATACTTCCTTTCAGTTTATTTTTTTTATTCGTAATCTTCTAAATCTGTTCCTTTTTGTGTCGTTCAATTTCATATTTTTTTTACAGCGACAATTCATGAATATTCCAAGGCTTAACGCTCACTCAACACTCGCACTTTTCAGTGTTGTTGTGAAAACTCTATTAATACCGAGGATTTGGTATTGAAAGACGTGTTTTTTCGTAGCTTAATTTTGGCGTAAAATTAATCCTGACTAAGAACACGATAAAAGGTTCCCCAAACTGGACCACAAGCGTATGATATGTGAGGTCACAGTGAGTAATGATACCAATGTCTATAAGGGATTGAATGTGGTGGTATAGAGGTATTTTACTATATTTACACATTGAGATATTTACCTTGACTCCCCCATACCCGTCCGGTGGCGTCATCAACTACCTGAGTAAATAAAGAATGTTCGACAAAACCCTTTTTTCTTAATTGAATTTTTAAATATTTTGGTTACACATTATATATAATTTGACGTATATAAATTTAGTTATTACAAGACTTAGATAAATAATAATACTCGTCTTTTATCAACGTTGAGCAGCATTATACCTCAAGTGACCTCCTAGGCTGTAGTCCAGTAAAATAATTATTATCGATTTCATTCTCTACACAAAAGTTATAAGCTTCACATGATATAAAGATACACCGATATTTCTTCTTGTCGTTTATACTCACAAATGTTTGAGCTTGAAATAAAGTTAATAGTTTTGTTTAAGAATGTTAGCCACTTCATTGATAAAAAGTAAATAGTATGTTGTATAATATTCTCAGTCTCTCTCTCTTTCTCTCTATCTCCCTTTACCACAGCGTGTTACAATCTCTTTCTCTCTGTCTTCTTTGTATTTCTCTCTCTCTCTATCTCTCTGTCTTCTCTGTATTTCTTATTCTCTCTTTACCACACTGCCACGGTATAATGCAATCTCTCTCTCTCTCTCTCTCTCTCTCTCTCTCTCTCTCTCTCTCTCTCTCTCTCTCTCTTCCCCTGGACCAAAGATGGAGTCAAGGTCTTCACGGCAACACGTTTATCCCTCAAACTCCATAGAATACGGACAGACTTTATAACTGGTCTGGGGGAAGAAAGATGGAAATATTATTCAAGTTAAATTATTCTGAATAGTCCCCCTTAACCTTTGTTTAGCCTCTTTCACCTCAGTTCAGAGTGGTTAATTAATCCTTTCACCTGGGGATTCAATATTAGGCTCAGGTAAGATAATGTTTTTTTTTTTTTTTACAGAAGTTACGGAAGGAAGGTGGTCGGTAAGTACCTAACCTAACCAAACCTAACCTAACCAAACCTAATCTAACCAAACTGGATACACACCGCCTCTATAACGTTTCATCAAGCCAATGAGAACCACTTTCACATTTCACCTTTTAGCAACACAGGTAAAAAAAATAAAAATAATAATAATAATAATGCCAAATCTCTATTAATTTATCAAGGATTAACGACACCGCCCCCACCATCCCACTACCCCCACCCACCCCTCACACACACACACACAGAACGAGTTAGAATGAGTTCCTCTTGAAATGTAGAACCCAGTGAAAGCACCTCAGGGAGAGACAAGTACCTACAGTGGGACCAGAAAAGAGGGAATGAAATTGAGGGAGGTTGAGTGTTCATCTTTAATCGGCCTTCCAAACTGTGAGAGGTGAAAGGTTACTGTAAAGACGAACTAACTGCTCCACCCTACCTGTAGGAGGGTGTGTCTACCTGTAGGAGGGTGTGTCTACCTGTAGGAGGGTGTGTCACTACCTCTATGGGGGTGTGTCTCTTCCTGACTGAGGGTGTGTGTCTCTACCTGTAGGAGGGTGTGTGTACCTGTAAGAGGGTGTGTCTGCCTGTATGAGGGTGTGTCTACCTGTAGGAGGGTGTGTCTGCCTGTATGAGGGCGTGTCTACCTGTAAGAGGGTGTGTCTACCTGAAAGAGGGTGTGTCTACCTGTAGGAGGGTGTGTCTGCCTGTATGAGGGCGTGTCTACCTGTAAGAGGGTGTGTCTACCTGTAAGAGGGTGTGTCTACCTGAAAGAGGGTGTGTCTACCTGTAGGAGGGTGTGTCTACCTGCTGGAGGAGGACATGTATCTACCAGGACCATTCTGGCTCTAAAGGTCATTCACCCTGTATATAAGATCAATCTTAACCTAACCTAACCTAACCTAACCATCTTAACACATTTAAAAGTCCACCATTAATTCCCATATTGTATTTCCTCAATAAAGATAACACAGTAACTTCACCCACAAAGATAACAACAAATTAACATCAAACACAAATATAACAACAAATTAACTTCACCCACAAAGATAACAACAAATCAACTTCACCCACAAAGATAACAACAAATTAACATCACCCACAAAGATAACAACAAATTAACTTCACCCACAATCCCTTCTGTTAAAGCCCATCAAGTAAATAAACAAACAACTTCAATACCTCCAGGTTAGGTTAGGTTAGGTTAGGTTAGGTTAGGTTAGGTTAGGTTGGAGTATGGGTAGGGTTGGTTAAGTTAAGGTAGGGTACTTTAGGGAAGGGTAGGTTAGGGTAGGGTTGGTTAGGGTAGGGTTGGTTAGGGTAGGGTAGGTTAGGGTAGAGAAGGGTAAGGAAAGGAAGGGAAGGGTAGGTTAAGGTAGGGTTGGTTAAGTTAAGAGTAGGTTAGGTTAAGGTGGGGTAAAGTAAGTTAGTGATGATTAGATTAGGTTAGATTTCGATTTACAAACTTTAAGTCGAACTCAAATGTTTGTAACCCACCGTTTTGTGTGACCCAACGCTCAGTGTAACCCAACGTTCTGTGTGACCCAACGTTCTGTGTGACCCAACGTTCTGTGTGACCCAACGTTCTGTGTGACCCAACGTTCTGTGTGACCCGGTATTATAATATAACAGATCTTGCCCCTTGCGTTTTAACTGTAGTGTTCTCAGAATAAGTTGGCTGCAAAATTTTCTTTCCTTCCTCAGCTCTTAGGAAAATGTGGCAAAGAGCATTTCATTTAGGGAGCAAGAGAGAGAGAGAGAGAGAGAGAAAAGTGTGAAAAATTTCTTGTGGTTTAGCGTTTCAAAGATATTTATTTTATACAAGTATACATATATAAATTATGTGTATATGTATGTGTATATATTTTTGGTTTATACTGGTCCATCCAATTTGTGTAGTTGTAATAAAGTGGTCTGGGAGTGTGGTAGTAACGAGAGATATACAAAGTGGTTTGGGCGCTAGTGTGTGGTAGTTTAAATAAAATGGTCTGGGGTGGGGGTGGTGGGGGGGGGGTGGGTAAAGGACCAGGAACACAGTTGTCTGGGAGGTAAAATGGCGGTGAGGGAGGTAGGAGATAGGTCGGTGAGGGAGGTAGGAGATAGGTCGGTGAGGGAGGTAGGAGATAGGTCGGTGAAGCAGGTAGGAGATAGGTCGGTGAGGGAGGTAGGAGATAGGTCGGTGAGGGAGGTAGGAGATAGGTCGGTGAGGGAGGTAGGAGATAGGTCGGTGAAGCAGGTAGGAGATAGGTCGGTGAGGGAGGTAGGAGATAGGTCGGTGAGGCATGTAGGAGATAGGTCGGTGAGGCAGGTAGGTACGTAGGTAAGCACAACAGGTAGGTAAGTAATGCAGATAGATAGGTGAGAGAGTGTGGTTTGGTAAGGTAAACATGGCAGGCTAAAGAAATTATACCTAATACAAGAAAAATTAGGAACCTTTTATGTACGAATTATTTCTCTTGCTAAGTTGACGTCGACGCGTCCTTTGGGAAATTACAAGAACATGGGTGGATTCCACGGTGAAACTTTTCCACCTCTCCCCCAAACTGAAAATTGGATAAAAACTTTTCGCGTCTTGTGTATGTTTTCTGGGAGTCTATTCTAAAGTACAGAGCCCAAGTTTTAAGTTGAATAGGGGCTTTAATTCAACGGGGAATGAATAACTCGGAGGGTGGGGATCGTGAGCTGAGTAGTCTGTGTTTTGTTGTCATTCAGAGGAGTTGACTTGTTCCTGGTTATCTGTCCAGGGACGTGAGTATGCTGGTAAGGTGTGTTGGAGTTATGTTGAATTGTGTATTATTACTATTACTCGGGATTCTATAAAGGGATAATGTTACAAATGAACTTCTGAACGACAACACTTCGTCTTAAGATCGTGTCAGGGAGTGTAGCGCTAAAACATTTATGGAAGCAAGTAAAACGATTC